TCCTAATATCTTTATTCATTCATTCAATCAATATACACAACCACCCATTTTACTTTGGTGGGTAACTTTGATTTTGCAAACTGCACTGGCACTATGGTCTTTGGAGGGGTGGGACTGAAATTTTGGCTCTGGGAATGCTGAGATAAGAGTTTGGGGTGGATAATAAAAGAACATTAAGACTGGTACGTCTTTAAATTTATTTGTCAGTGCAGTGAATTTTTTAGAAAGTAATTAATGAATGGATTAAACAGAGGCTTAAGCAGCTAACTTTTGGGGATGCTTTGGTCTGGATTCTCTCACTGAGCTGGGCTCCTGACCAATAAAATAAGGTTCACCAATCAACACTGTAAACAATTTCTACTTTTCAACATCTATCTTGAAATAACACACAAGGTTGCCAAGTGTGCATAGCGGCATGCAAAATCAGGTAAAGCAGAGAGTTGAAGTCCACAAGTCTTAAAGTTGCTAAGGTTGAGGACCCCTGAGGTAAAGAATAATTAAGAACAACTACACCTGCCTGAATATAGACAGACAGGAATGGCTCAGGCTCAGCATTTGTTATCTTCTAACGTCTTTTTTTTTAAATGAATTGTGTGAACTGTTATTGTACTATATTTTTCTCAGGCTTGTCAGAGGCTGCGTAAGAGATGTTTATAATCCTCAATTCCCCTGCAGAAAATTTTATTGTTTTTCTACCAACCTTTTTATAATTATATTTTATGTTGCTTGTTTAACATTTATACTACCTGGATTACTAACTTTAATAACTTTTGTCTTTTGTTACACGGGTGTAGCCTGAGCAAGCATCTTAGCATTTTTTGATTTAATGTTATCTTTTAGTTAAAATTCTTTGTTTGCAAGTACCTTTCTTACTTACCCTGATCTTGTCAATTTAGTTTTGGATATTTGAACTCCAATTGCCTTGAAATGAATGCAATAATGTTATTTACTCTCTCTCTCTCTCTCTCTCTCTCTCTCTCTCTCTCTCTCTCTCTCTCTCTCTCTCTCTCTCTCTCTCTCTCTCTCTCTCTCTCTCTCTCTCAATATAAATTAGCCTCTATGGGCTAGATAACTCTGTCCAACTCTAGGATTTGATGATGGCTGAACTAACGGACAGATGGATGGATGAATAGGTAGATAGTAGATAGGCAGATTGATGAATAGAGATAGATAAATGGGTGGGTGGGTGGGTGGGTGGATGATTGGAAAGATGGAGAAAGGGAGGGAGGGGAGAAAGAAGGAAGCAGGGGCATCTACAGTTTCTGGGGAAAAAGTCAAAATGGAATTAAAACAGTCACACATAAAAAATGGTCAGAGCTTTCATTTGTTTTGGCTGCCGTCTTGTCTTTTTACCACTCCCTGTGGACATCCCTGATTGACAAATAGACCAGGGGGTCTTCAAACGTGGCCCTTTTACGACTTGTGGACTTCAATTCCCAAATTTCATCAGCCAGGCATGCTGGCTGAGGAATTCTGGGAATTGAAGTCCACAAATCATAAAAGGGCTAAGTTTGAAGACCCCTGCATTAGACCCATTGCTAAAAAACCATTGTTTGACAGCAGACTCTTGGGAGACTTAGGAGGCCCTTAAAAGGGGACTAAAAGCTACACAAACCTGGCAGGTTGCACATCCTTATATAATTGTAGGATTCCTTTACTGCTGAAGTGTTAAGCTACATGACCCTCTCCCACTAAAAAAACCCCACTAACATTATGGCTCTATGATTATTTGCTTCAAAGGATGTCAACCATGGCCAGCACAAAGAAGCAATGTGGTGGGCTGGCCTGAAAAATGAACAAGAATAATTTGGAGCCAAGTATGACCCAGAGAGAAACTTCTCCAAGCATCTGGAAACAACAGTACCTTTCCCCCCATACACACAAACACTTTTTCTAAGACCAACTCGTTTGCATTAACAGCATTTATTTCCTATTTTATAGTTTTCTTGATTTGACATGTTTTGCAAACAAAATTGTTATTGATTCAGTATTCTAGGTTCATGATGTTCTTCGAATGTATTCTGCAAACAGCCCACCATAGCTGAATCTGGACTATCTTATCATTTTCCCAATCCTGGGAATGTATTGTTCCTAATTCCTTCCTGCCCTCCATCTTCTAAATCTGTCTCCTCTTCACAACACAACATTCCCCTGAATTGTGGTTGTCCCCGAAATCAGGTCCGGGCCAGCTAAAACTTGTAAAATTTGACCAAGACTGATGAATTGCTGGTTTGTTTTAATACAAATAAAATATTTACATCCAGGCTGAAAGGCATTACCAAATATTTGGAGATTCAAAAGTTGTGCAAACAGGAAAAGTTTTGTATTTTGGCAGCCAAAGGGGGGAAAAAATGAGGGAAAGCCTGCCTTGGTGGTAAAAAGAAACAAATCTGATGTTGATAGAAGACAGAAAGGGAAAATGGTGTATGGGTCTGCAATGGCCAACTTCCCCAGCCACTGGTGACTATGATGGAAGTTATAATCCAGCACAGCTTTTGTTGGGAAAAGCTGCTTGGAATGATATTATAGACTAGACGCAGTGTTTCTCAACCTTGACAATTTTAAGGCATATGGACTTCAACTCCCAGAATTCCACAGCCAGCATGCCTTAAAATTGTCAAGGTTGAGAAACACTGTAAAACATTAGAGGCATTCAGCCCTTTTTCAGCACCTTATATTCGCTCAATATCAAAACCTCACTCTTTTCGTTTGAAAGGTCAAAGGCATTTCCATCTTCAAATCTATTTTCTATGTTTTCTTGTCTTTATTCATCTGTTTTTTCCCTCATACAGAAAAAGAATATGCAGGGCTTAAACATGAGACAATGGATAAATCAAGGAAGATACAAACATATTTATTATTTATTTTTATCCCTTTATTATTTTTTATAAGTAACTCAAAGCGTCTAACATACAGTACCTCTTCCTTCCTCTTCCTGTTTTCCTCACAACAATAAGCCTGTGAGGTGGGTTGGGTTGTGATTGTGACTGGCGCCAAGTCACTCAGGTGACTTTCATGCCTAAGGCAGGACTAGAACTCATAGTCTTCTGATTTTTAGCCTGGTGCCTTGACCACTAGACCAGACCTGAGCATTTTATGGCCCATGGCCCACAAATGGCATTTTGGCAGTCCCTGTGTGGCCCGTGTGAGGTCCATTGGAAATAAGAAATCAAACATAAATAATAAGTATGCACCGTGCACGCAATGCAACTGAGTTGCTTTTATTTTGAAGGCAACTGCTAAGTTTTTCAATTTACGTAGGTATGTGCATGTGTGCCTATGCACCTTCACAGCCCTATTAATTCGGTTCTCCACAACAGTCCCCGTTTTTCATGTGACATCCTTGGGAAAACTAATTGCCCACCCCTGCCCTAGACCAAAGTGGCTCTCCCAAAATTGTTTCAGAAAGGGCTGAATTGCTCTGCTGCATTATATCCAAGTGATTGATGTCTATAATTTTAGCTTAAAAAAAGCTGAGATCACCTGCAGTCGGTTAAATCATGTTCACACTGGAGGAAGGGTGCAAAGTTCTATCTATTATTTGTTTGTTTGTTTATTTGTTTGTTTACTTATTTACTTATATAACTGCCCAGTTCAAATAAATGACTTTGGGCCACTTCTAACATTAAAATAATTACAAAACATAAAAAACATAAAAACCCATAAGCAACAAGCAACGATCAACATGATGTATGCATTTAATATATAAAATAAATCAATAACTAGGAGACGGGCTTCCTCACGCATCCAGGGCGATATGAGCACTGAACTACATCTTCAGGGCCTTATGAAGGCCAACAGGGAACTTTCACACAAAAATGTGTCAACAATTTACGAAATAGTGGAACACCAGGGAGATACAAGAAACAAAAAACTTTTCTTGCAGCCAAATTATGACACACAAGAGATTAGAAGCCCAAACAACAATTATTTAAAAGAGATCCTGGCTTTTTATGATTCACAGGCTCATCCATAATCCTCACAAATTTAAACTGAATAATTCTAACATCAATTTATTTCTTTCAAGCTAGAGATGAAAAATTAGAATCTATTTCTTTGGATTTCCTGTACCTTCTGCTGTGCTTTTATTGTAGTTTTGCTTCTGCAAATGAAAGTTCTTAACAGCCCAACTAACCCTTAGCCAACCCTTATCTATGAATGGATCTCATCTCTTCTGAAGCCTATCATCACATACAGTGGCATAGAGTTCCATCAGCTACCAACATGCTCTCAACGCTGCAAATATTGTTTCATTAGTCGGAACCACGACACATGCATTGTGAAAAGACAGAATCCTTTACTTCTGGGTGTCAGAGCAAGACTCAGCTCTTGACAACTTGCAAATAGGCTATTCTTATTCATTGCGTCTCCTGCTCATATATAAGAACAGGGAAAGCATTTGGTAGCCACAATTTGCCTTCTTATTAAGATCCCACTCTGAAAATTAGGTCCTGTGTATACGGAAGCAAATGTAATCTGGAGAAGGGTTCTTATCTTTGGAAAGTCTCTTTGAAAAAGAGAGGGACTAGCCGTCCTCTGAAGTCCCAACACCAATTAAAATAAACAAGAAGAGCATGCTAATGAAATTCCTTAAATTAAGTGATTAATAATACATTGAGGAAGGATTTTTCAATAAGAAACTGATTCAGAAAAAAAATAGCAAATTTTGACACAGCCAACAGCATTTTGGAGAGTACTTTAAATTAATCTAGATAAACCTAATTTATCTGCCAATATTCTCATCGTTTGCTGTTCCAATTTTCTAACTTCATCTCTTCCAGAAGAGGAGAGGAGAGGAGAGACGGGAAGGGAAGGGAAGGGAAGGGAAGGGAAGAATAGAATAGAATAGAATAGAATAGAAGAGAAGAGAAGAGAAGAGAAGAGAAGAGAAGAGAAGAGAAGAGAAGAGAAGAGAAGAGAAAAGAGAAGAGACCTGTTTTTCAATCTTCATCGCTGCCTCTCTCCTCACTTTTTCTTCTTGTGGATTATCATTTTTGTACCTTAGGAGCTTCCAAAGGAGCAAATTTTCACTTTGCTCTTTTCCATTACACTGTTGATTTCTGCTGCACCGTGTTGCTAGAATAGCCCTTCTTTAATTGGAAAAACAGCTTGCCAGGAGCAAGCAGAGGAGATCCAGGGACTGGCCACCTACCTTTCAACTGGGAGCTGAGAAGTTGGTGTCTCTGGCCCAGCCTCTGCCTAAACCGCCTGCATTTGTACAAAGCAGAGAAGAGACGGAAGGGAGGGTGGGTGGGAGAAGGGAGGGGCCTCCAGACTCTAGAACAAAAGTTGGCTGCATCTGCAGGAATCGTCTCATCGCTCAGAAGAGAAGGGGGTCTGTGGAACTAAATGGGAAAAGGAATTTAATTGTTTTTGTAATTGAAGGTGACTTTGGGAAGGTCATTCCATGATGCTAAGAGAGAACACATGTGCGGCAGAAGACAATAAGGTTCATTTCAATCCCTGCTACCCATCTGTCAGGAACTAGAATTGGGGATGAGGCAAGAGAAAATGAATCAGAAGAGGACATTGCAAAGACGTGAGAAAGCCGCCCACCAGACTCTGGAATGGATGGGGGATTCCCCACCCCAGATGCAACAAATACGAGGGCAATTCGGAAATAAAGCTCGCAGATATGGAATTTTTATTATACACATTAGAAAACTACAACATTACATTACTTTCGACATAATCACCATTTAAATTGAGGAACTTGTCATAACGCCTTTCAAGGTTTGAAATTCCTTAGTAGTAGTCGCTCAGCGCCAAATCTGGATTATCGGGTGGGGGGTCATCAAAAACATCCCAACGGAACTGCTTCAAAGTTCTCGGGTGCATCTAGCGGTGTGCGGGCAAGTATTATCGTGAACCAACACCACACCAGAAATGGTGCCATAGAAAATCCTGCCAACTGTGAAGATGCCAAAGGAGCACTACTAATGAAGTTCATGGAGCATGGTTCGACCATCAATTCAGACATCTACTGTGAAACGTTAGGAAAACTCAGATGAGCCATCCATAACAAGCGTCGGTGCATGCTGACTTCCGGTGTGGTGTTGGTTCACAATAATGCTTGCCCACACACCACTAGACGCTCCCAATAACTTTTGAAACAGTTCCATTGGGATGTTTTTGATCACCCACCCCCCATAGTCCAGATTTGGCGCTGAGTGACTACTACTAAGGAATTTCAAACCTTGAAAGACGTTATGACCAGTGCCTCAATTTGAATGGCGATGATATCGAAAAGTAATGTAATGTAGTTTTCTAATGTGTATAATAAAAGTTCTGTATCTGAGAGTGTCTGTCATTGATAACCAAGTGGAGGTTTGTTTCCTAATTGCCCTCGTATTTTATTAGGGGGAGGGGTGGGGTTGGGGGGGAAAGGAAGTATAGCTAAAGCTGAGCCAGTGGTGTACTGGTTAAGGTGCTAGAATAGAAACCAAGAGACTGTGAGTTCTAGTCCCACTTTAGGCATGAAAGCCAGCTGGGTGACTTTGGGCAATCACCAGGAGACTGTGAGTTCTAGTCTCACCTTAGGCATAAAAACCTGCTAGATAACTTTGGGCCAATCTGTCTCCCTCAGCTCAACCCATCTCACAGGGTTGATGTTGTGGGAAAAATAGCCAGCTGGAAAGATCACAAATGGCAATCACAGGACCTGGGCCACCACAACCATCTTAAGTACAGGTAGTCCTCGACTTATAACAGTTTGTTTAGTGACTGTTCAAGGTTACAATAGCACTGGAAAAAGTGACTTATGACCTTTTTTCATACTTACGACTATTGCAGCATCTCCATGGTCACGTGATCAAAATTCAAAGGCTTGGCAACTGACTCATTTATGATGGTTATGGTGTCCCAGGATCATATGACAAACTTTCTGACAAACAAAGTCAATGGGGAAGCCAGATTCACTTAACAACCATGTTACTAACTTAACAAGTGCACTGATTGACTTAATAAGTGTGACAAGAAAGGTGTAAAAATGACACAAAATTCACTTTACAAATGTTTCACTTAGCAACATAAATGTTGGGCTCAATTGTGGTCATAGGTTGAGGAGTACCTGTACATGCCAGTTGCCAAGCAACTGAATTTTGATCACGTGATCTTGTGGAGGTGCAATGCTGCATTGATTGTAAATATGAGTACTGGTTATAAGTCCCTTTTTTATTGTAGTTTCAAATGATCACTAAATGGTTATAAGTCAACTACTTGTAATTAAAAACACTACTCCTACAACTGTTGCTTTTCTTGAATATCATTCTCCTTTACATTTTTAAGCACCCACTTTAAAAAAAATCAGTTTACTGGATTGAGCAAAATGAAACTTAAGTTAACACAGTAGCACATTACATTCTTTTGCATTTTTTTATTGGAAGAAAACACTCAAAAATTATAATTGCCGAATAATGCTAAAAGTGGCTAATTCGGTTAACAATCCATTAGGAAAAAATTAAACATCAATTAAGTAAGGTCCACAAGGATGGAAAAAAGAAAAAAAATGCTAGAGGACTACAGTTGCTATAATGAAATAAACATTGTTGTGCTAAAAACTATATCAGAAGTCAAGAAACTAATGCTGGTGAGTTAAAACTAGAGGTGATCATATGTAGATAGTTCCTTTTATACTTAGTGGGATTTGAACCAACTGAATAACAAAATAACAGAATAACAGAGTTGGGAGGGATCTGGGAGGTCTTCTAGTCCAACCTCCTGCTCAGGCAGGAAGCCCTATACCATTTCAGACAAATGGTTGTCCAATCTCTTAAAAACCTTCAGTAATGGAGCATCCCCAACTTCTGGAGGCAAGCCATTCCACTGTTTAATTGTTCTGTCAGGAAATTTCTCCTTCATTCTAGGCTGGTTCTCTCCTTGATTAGTTTCCATCCATTGCTTCTTGTCCTGCCTTCAGGAGCTTTGGAGAATAGGTTGACTCCCCCTTCTTTTCTTGTGGCAGCCCCTCAAATACTGGAACATGGCTATTATGTCACTCTTAGTCCTTCTTTTCACTATACTAGACATACTCAATTCCTGCAACTGCTCTTTATATGTTTTCACCTTCAGCTCCCTAATCCTTTTGATTGCTATACTCTGCACTTTTTCTAGAATCCCAACATTCTAGAGTCACAGCAATTAAGGCTGAACTCTATTTTATCTGCTCTAAGTATGGATCCAGAGCTCTCGCTTTTAATCTTGAACTTTCCAAGATAAGTCATTTGGGTGAAAGGGACTTATAAAGAGTTAAGATGTTGGACCTTCAGAATGAAGGAACTCTTTTTCTTGAAGTTACAAGACCTGAACTTAAAGCAGTATTTCCCAATTTTGGGAATTTTAAGATATGCGGACTTCAGCTCCCAGAATTCCCCAGCCAGCATGTAATTATTTTGTAATTACAGATCAGGCAGGCCAAAGGCCTGACTTGGTAGATGGCCATTTCTTTTTTATGGCTCCAAGATATTAACCAACTGCAGAAAGATGGAAAGGCTCTAGCCATTCCAGAAGGTTGAAGTCCACAAATCTTAAAGGTGCCATGTTTGGAGACCCCTTATCTAAGGTAATATAGGTAAGTGGCCACTGCTAGATGGGGAAGGGAGCAAGGAATAGTGTGGATGGCCCACATGAGGGCAGAGCAACTGCCAGAGATTGCATGGGTATGGGAGACTTAACCCAAGCAATTTGAAACCTTCCTTGCAAGGTTCTCCACTGATTTTCTCCCTGAAAGCTTTCCAGGAAGGAAGTTGCAAGTTGCAATCCACTGCTCTACTCCCATCAGCCACAGTCATGTGATCCCCATTGACTTTCTCCCTGCTGTTTTCCCACCCATTGATTTGAGGGAAGATAACATTATAGATAAGGATTACATGATCATGACAGCACAGCAGCACTGAAATGGCAAGAACTTTCCAAAATTTCTTTTCCCACAGGAGTATTGGGTCTTGACATTGTGTAAGTTAGCCCACAAGAGGTACCTTGGCTGAAAAGATTTTGCCCTACAATGATGCACGGTTTTACTCAGTTAAAGGTTACAGACTTGAGAGTTTCAGTAGCATATAGACAGGATATGACTGAATGCATTCATATATTCTTGATGTCGCGAACCATCTTGAGATATTTTGTGGGCATATAACAGCTCCACAGAAACTAACCACAGCATGGCTTAATATAATGATTGAAAGCCAACTTTTAATCTTTAAGAAGCTGCAAAATTTACTGTTGACTTTCTGCAAAAAGAACAACATAGCTTCTCCTCCAGATGACTCTCTCTCTTCCTCCAGGAGAGACTGAATCTCTCAACCAAAATGAGTGACCCACAGCCTCTCTGTGACAGCAGCTGCTTCTCTCTCCAGGTCTGGTGATTTTTCAGCTGGAGCTGGCTGGAGTTCTACATGCCAAAATTAACAAGAAGCAGATCCGCTCTTTCATCTGAATTAAGATGTGTCATGAGCTTTTATCACATCTGACAGATCTTTAGGAGAAAAAGATGCATGTCTATGTGTGAGAAAGAGCAAGACATGGGCCAAAGAGCTATGTGATAAGGGGAAACCACAACACACAGAACAATCTGATCTTAATCCTCTTGTCATCTTGGTGTTATGTATGTTTAATTAAATTAATTGTTTTAAGTGATGTGTATAATATGTTTTAATCACTGGATTTACTGCATGCAACCCACAACTTGAACAGAGGAAACCTTTACCTTTATCTTTATAAGTAATCCTTGACTTATGACTACAATAGGGGCCAGAAAATTTGTCATTAAGCCGTGCAGTTGTTAAGTGAGGCATCACATGAACACTCCAGAAGATAGGCTTAAGATATAGAAGGATCTTGACAGACTTGAATTTTGGGCGCTATCTAACAAAATGAAATTCAGTGGTGAGAAAAATAAGGTTGTACATTTAGGCAAGAAAAACCAAATGCACAGGTACAGTATGGATGATACCTGGCTCAATAGTAGTAACTATGAGAGGGATCTTGGAGTCCTAGTGGACAATCACTTAAATATGAGCCAGCAGTGTGCTGCACCTGCCAAAAAAGCCAACACAGTGTTAGACTGCATTAATAGAAGGATAGAATCAAGATCACATGAAGTGTTAATATCACTTTATAATG